GACTAAGTAATTTCTGGATACTATTTTAAAAGCTTCAAAATAATCCAAGAAGTCATAGGCTCTATTTGTTCTCATGTGAAGTTAATGAATTAAGGAATAAATGTGAGTTTCCCATTTTCAAAAAATAATTTACAGCTGAAACCGGTTTGTTTCCGTGGATAGAACATCAGCCTGCGAACTGAGAAGTCCCTGATTCGATTCCGGTCAAGAGCATGTACCTTGGTTGCAGGCACATCCCCAGTGGGGGTGTGAAAGGAGGCGGCTAATCGATGTCTCTCATTGATGTTTCTAACTCTCTATCTCTCTCTCTTCCTCTCTGTAAAAAATCAATAAAATATATTTTAAGATACTTTAAAAAATAAAATAATTTACAAAATGGGACTTGGTGATCACTTTCTTCTCTAATGAAAATACAGGATACCTGCAACAGAGCTATATTACCACTAGGTGTCGCAATTGACAGCACAAAAGTTGAATAGAAAGCAAGGTCTTTACTGCTTGAAAGAACATTACCAAATATAAGAATAAAAATGTGAAAACACTTTTATAGACACACCCTATAAAAATCTAGGGGAGCAGCAGTGGAGACCTATGTACATATTAAAGTAGCCCAAGTGCACAATAATATAGTAGTTCATATATCCTTCTAGAACAATCTTCAGCAACCAACTGGGTTCCCGCACTGTGAGAGGGCACAGGCCAGGCTTGGGGACCACCCCCACCCCAAGTGCACAAATTTCATGCACCGGGCCTCTAGTTATATAATAAACTGTTAAATATAAGTGTTTCCCTGAATACTATGAGCCATCCTACCGTGTTTCCCCGAAAATAAGATATCCTCCGAAAATAAGACCTATTTATAGATTTCCTTCTGAGTGAAATATAAGGCATCCCCCTGAAAATAAGGCCCCCCCTAGGTTAAACATGAGAGATTTGGTCCACTGATTCTGAAAGAAATGGAGTCACAAGAAATTCACCAGGAAATTCAGGAATTGGACTGTTATGATGATGTTCCAGAAGATGATGACATGATTGTCATTGAATAAATGAGTAAATTCTTGATACTGTAGGATTCAGTTTGGTTTGTGTTGACAACTACCGTACTACCGTATACAGGTAATACATTTCCTTTATTTTCATTTAACAATAAATGTGGACCGTATTCTTCTTCATGGAAAAATAAGACATCCCCTGAAATTAAGACCTAGCGCATCTTTGGGAGCAAAAATTAATATAAGACACTGTCTTATTTTCGGGGAAACAGGGTAGTAAATTATTGTACCCAAGGAGGTGGTCATGGGAACCCCAATTTCAGGCTGATTGGTTGAAAATATAGGTGACAACCTGGGACTTGAGATGGGAGTCTCAGATGGGGGCAGTCTTGTGGGATTGAAATCTTGATCTACAAGATCTGACACTGACTCCAGACAGGTAGCATCGGAACTGACAGAACTGGTGTATTGTAGGACACCTAGTAGTGTCACAGCATTGTTTGATGTGTGGCAAACCCACACATCTGGTGTCAGAAGTGTTGTGAGCACGGCAGTATTGTGAGAGTAAAGGAGACACATAGAGTGTTCTTCCCAGGCACACTATTTCACATACACACACAAAAAATACTGGTTATGAACCAATAAATTGATTTCATTTCACCTAATGCACTTCCTTCCATTAAGAACCAGAGGCTCCGCCAGTACTGTGACTTGCCCCAGGTGAAACAGGAAGCCGGGATTTAGGCCTTTTAGGACCCTGGCAGCAGTGTCCTAAAGACACTGTTCCATAAGAGGAACTCAGTAAGTATCTGCTGAAGTAAATGTTTGCATATTCTTATTTTCAAATTTTAATCCTAAAAAAATCCCAACTCATTGGAATATCAGCTCCTTGATTTATATAAAGAGCTGATTTGACCCTGCAGATCTCCATTTCCGAATATCTTGAGAGTATTAATAAAACTATATCAATCTTGGGAACAATGGAGATGAAAATCCAGTTTTGAAATATTTTACTACCTTTTCATTGAAGGGGTATATAGTTTTGATATAGTTTTGTGCTTTTAACCTTCAGCTTGTAGGCTAGTTCCCCATGATCAACACCGCCTCTGGTCCTTCCACTGGTCGCTCAATGGACTGGCCTACTTGCTGGAATCCCCAGACCTGGCCTTCTTTGGATTACTAAGCATGGACAAACAGCAACTCTTCCCAACATGCCCCCTTAGGACATTCCCCCAAAATGGATCATCACCTTACATTATTTATTTCCCATAATTAAGAAAGGAGAGAAATCAGTGAAAGGAAGACAACTAAATGCCAATAAGACTGTACAGTGAATAATGCCAGGAGGGTGGTCAGCGATGGCTCTGAGGAAGACTGAACCTTAGAGGTTAGGCTGAGATGGCTCTCCCAGCGGGTGGTCAGCGATGGCTCTGAGGAAGACTGAACCTTAGAGGTTAGGCTGAGAACTGGGTAGGGGGATATAGGGAAGGAAGCTTTTCCAGGTGGAAACAGCATGTGCAAAGGTCAGGTAAGGATGTGGGCAGAGGAGAGGTGCCCGTTTGCATTGGGGAGGAGTCAGGCATGAAATGAGGTGGGAAGAAGGAGGTGTGCTGGGTGCCCCCAGAAGCAGGGGCCGATGATCCACGGTCCCCCTAACTCCATGTGGCACTGTTGGTTATAAAGTACTTCTAGACTGACTTGTAGTTTTGATCTCGGTGCTCTTGTTTGATGAGTGGGATAGATACTGTAGGCTTTTTCGATAGAAATGGTGAAAGACGACAGGAGATTAAGAAAATCGGCCTAAGTCACACAGGGAGCAGCTAGCCAGACTCACAGATTCCTCTGTATTTCACAGACCCAAGAATTGGAGTGGGCCTCACAAGCCACATAGTTAAACTGAGGACCAAAGAGGTGAAACAACTTTTCCAAGGTCACACAAACAACAGAGATTAGGAGGCTGGCTGGTGGCAGCACTAACCAGCCTTATTTCTGACTGAAGGAATTTGCCTTCTATTCGCTGCAGAGGAATCCTAGAGGGAAAATCCTCATCTTCCAGAGAAAAAACTGTTACTTTGACAAAACGAATTTCTTTCCAATGTTTTATAACTGTTGGGATGACAAGTCTGCTACATAACTGTATTTTTAAAAATGAAAATTTTTATCAACCAAAAATTAATTATTTTTTTGTAAAGTGAAAAACAGTCTGAAGGAAACAGCTGCCAAGGAGAGGGATCCATCTGGGAAGGGAGATCTCCGTCACCTCCCGAAGCACTTCAGAACTATTTCCTCCACTGAGTTTTCAGGTCTCCATTAATCAGTTTGTTTTGTTTTGTTTTTTAACTTAAACAAAACCTACACACTGGCCCCAAATTGGTAGACTACTGTCATCTCAGAAACAGTTAGCAAAAGGTATTTCTAGGCAAGTACATAATCTAGATGATGCATTAACCCCCCCTCCCCCGAATGACCTGCCTAGAGAAAGGGCTTGCTGAGAAATCTGTGTCTCCATTAGGGAAGGAGGGGGGGCAGGGGGCGAATCCCTTGCAGAAGTTGAAAAGATGTTAAGTGGTAAATACCAAAATGCCCAGCAAGCATGTAAGCAGGCTCTCACACCAGAATGATTATGTGCAGATCAGCATTTTAAATTTTACTTTTAGCTTTCCTAGCAGTTCAAATTAACCCTTTCTCTACTTCTGCTCCCTCTGTGAGCGTTCTGCCCTTACCATACAGACTGGAAGAACTGTCACAGTTCTCTTCCATTCACCCTGCACCCTACCCGCTCACCCCAGGGGCCTCCTTGTGAACAGCTGTCTCCTGGACTTCCTTACTCTCCAGAAGTCTCTCAGGGCAATGCCCAGACACATGCTAGCAAGTCAGTCCAGCTTGCTGGAGCTACACACAGAATCAGAGGAGGCCTCCCAGGAAACCAAAGCAGCACAGATAAATGCCACACACCAGTTCCCCAAAGCCCGAGCCTCAGAATCTCCCAGAGAGGCTGTTTCCAATGGTGGCAGCCAGCGTTTGTACTTGTGAAACAGCCTCGGTGATTCTAAAGTGCATCCCTCAGCAACAGACACTAAACTAGATGCTCTAAAGAGCCAATTACACTTTTCTCTTTGTTACTAAACAAGCAACTTCCATCCAAAAATTCTTCCCGATTAGGTTCATCTTAATACCTCACTGGCTAGTAAACTTACTGACAAACTGGGTGAATAACTATCAAATATAAGAAAGGTGAATATAATATAATAAATAATAAATATTTATATAATGGTTTACAATATTTTCCCATTTATTAATGATCTCACGTGGCTCTCAGACAACCCTATTGAGGTAGCTTGTTATTCTCATACTAAAGGTGAAGAAAACAAGTCTCAGACATGAAAAAAAATGACTTGAAAATGCCTAAATGATGTCAGCATTTCTATATCAAGTTAGATTAATTTTTTTTTGCTCTTTATATTGATTTGTGTCTTTGGGGTGTTTCTTTTAAATATTTGGAATATCAGTTGCTGCAGACATTTTCTTCCAAGGAAAAAAAATAATCCATGTCAAATCCTGGTGAGATGAAAACTCATGGCATTGGTCCCATTAAAACCAGGGTCAGCCATAAACTTCCCGCATTCTTCATGCTGCAATTAATTGCTTAGCTCTTCGGCTCAGCAGAAGAATCTGAGGAACAAGAACAAAACAAAAGCCAATAGAATAAAAGAAGGTTAACTGAGCAGAAAGACTTATTTCAAGAATATCAATTCTAAAATAAAACCACTCAGTCCTTTGTTGTGAGTGTCACTTACAGCGTAGTAAAATGCTTCCTAAATGATTGGGTGCTAGTTGGTTGGAAAGTTTTAAGAAACAAGTCAGTGATCAGCCTATGAAATATGAAAGTAAACTTCATATGTCGTGGGGCCGGCAGGGACTACATATTTACATGCAACAGGGACACCAGGATCTTTGTAACAGCAAGCAGTCATCCAGGCTTTGCTTTTTACCTTGCCAGTCGACATTTCATTCATTCTGAGAGGCTGCTCTGGCATAACTCAGCGGTAGATTCAGCCCAACAACTGGCCCAACAATGCTCAGCCAAGATGTGATGTAGTTGACATTCCTGGGAATCGAGTGAAAAGACAAGCAAGTCAGTGTATTTCCATTATATTTGGACGAATGATAGAAAATCAGTGATTGACAATAAAAGAAACAAGGCTTTCTTCAAAGATGTGTTCCCACCATGTGAAACCCCACCATTTCCAAGCAACTGCCCTGTTGCTTGACAAGGACTCAAGCTCCAAAAACACTGTAAGGATCCCTGACTAAGGCACTGGGACTCCAAGATTCCCCTTGATGATTCCAATTTTACACCTAAAATTTATAGCATTTGCTAAGGTGGTAGAGTGCAGTGATGAAGAGCATGGCTCTAAGGCAAAATGCCTGGTCTTTCAATTTTCAAATCCCAGTTCCACCACTTAACTAGCTTTGTGACCTTGGCCAGATCATTTAACCCTTCTATGCTTTAGCTTCTTCCTCTGTAAACTGCATAAAATAATAGAACTTGGCTCATGGGGCATTATAAAAATCCAATGCATTAATATATCTGGAATAGAACAGAGCCTAGCACACAGTAAAAATCAATAAATGTTAGCCATTATTATTATTACCAAGAATATTTCTTTTTTAGCTTAGCTTCCAGAGTCACATAAAAAGATTTATACTTTTAAAATAAGAGTTAATGCCAATGTATCTTGATAGTGTTTCTTACCTATTGATTTTTCGAGAATTCTTTAATACGGGAGTCATAAATTCATTCGTCTTGCAGGGATGGAGTACAAAAAAGGGTTGCCCAAGTATGGGATGTTCCTGTAAGAATGAGAGTGGGTCCAGAATGGCCAGTATGCGTTACTTTGAAAAAGTTAAAATACATAATCTGATTTACTCCTTTAAATAAAGGTTTGTTTTAAATTCCAGGCTGTGAAAATCAACCAAAGGCACATAAAAAAAATTGAAATGTGTGTCATAAAAAGCTGCTTGCACAGAGAGAGAGAGAGAGAGAGAGAGAGAGAGAGAGAGAGAGTCTGCAGCCTATTTGAAAAAAATATTAACTTAAAACTTCTAAACTTTTAAAAAATATATATATTTTATTGATTTTTTACAGAGAGGAAGGGAGAGAGATAGAGAGCCAGAAACGTCAACGAGAGAGAAATATCAACCAGCTGCCTCCTGCACACCCTCTACCGGGGATGTGCCTGCAACCAATGTACATGCCCTTGCCTGGAATCGAACCTGGGACCTTTCAGTCCGCAGACTCTACTACTGAGCCAAACCGGCTTCGGCAAAACTTCTAAACTTTCATTAAAATATTTAATCTACAGATAAAGGAAGTGCAACAAATTCTAAGTAGAAACATAAAGAAAGCCACAGGTAAATACATTATAGTCTAAAGCTGAAAGCCAAAGATAGGAGGAAATCTTAAAAGCACAAAGAGGGAAAGGACTCATCACATAAAGAGAAATAATAGTGCAACAATGGCTGGCTTCTCATCAGTTCAGAAGGCAACAAAAGGACCTATTCAAAGTCCTAGTGGAAAACACACACACACACACACACACACATACACACACACAAAAAAAAAAAAAAAAAATCCACTCAAAAAAACAACCAACAAAAAACCTAGAGATGTCAACCAAGAATTCTTTATCCAGCAAAACTATCCCTCAAAAAAATAAAGGTAATTTAAATATTTGCCCAGGGAAACAGACTGAGAATTCCTTGCTAGCAGAGCTCCCTTAAAAGATATACTAAAGGAAGTCCTTCAGACAATAATACCAGAGGGTAACTCAAATTCACAGGAAAAAAATAAAAAGCATTATAACCAGTAAATACAGAAAGTTAAGTGATTTTTTTCTATTATTTACTTTAATAGACATAAGATTATATAAGCAAAAAATATAATACTCTAATGTTGTGTTTATAACATAAAACACAACACTAGAGTATTATATATAATGTGTGTGTATTATATATACATAATACTCTCTCTATATAATTACTCTCTCTATATAATTACTGTCATATATATACATATATATATAATATATAATAGATGAACAAAGGAAGGAATAATGGAAATATATTGAGCAGAGCTGCTGTATTTTAGCTAATTTAAGTCAGTATTAGCTTGTGTTCCTATTGTTAGAATCTCAGTAAGGATGTTGTTTTAAGAGAATTGGAAACCAAAAGCTCCTTCTTGTTGTTAAATAAATCCTTTAAGTATGTTGTTAATCATGACCACTTTTCTAGTAATATGTCAAAAGCATCCATAATTAATGACATGATTAAACTGTATACAGTCAACACTCAATGCGTTCTCAAGTGTATCAGCTTTTCTTAGTTGTGGCAAATTGACCAAATCATGAGCTAGTCAGTATTTAAATACAGCTAGAAGATGATTTTTAAAATACTTGAAAGAAATCCATTTTCTAAATGTGTAAGATTACTGAATATAGGCTTTGAGTTATTAAGAATATAATAATGGTTATATAATGTAGAAAATATAACATTTCCTGGTGCGATTAGAATTCATATATTCCATCATTCATCCGTTTATCAAATATTAAGTCTTCTTGTCTTATAGTGTGATAATGATTTAATGCAAACTAAAGACAAAGGATCTGTAATTTTAAAATGTGCTTATTGGCATGGGTATCTTAATGCTGTAGCAGTGACAGAATTAGCTTTGCAACCTGAACCAATACTATTTTTTCAATCACTTTCAATCAGCTGATCCTGCAAGCCAAACAATTTGTATTCAAAGTAAGATAGAGAATTTTAAAATAATTTGAAGCATCTGATCAGTGTAGACAATAAATCTGGTTAATATTCTCCAAAAGCCACTTTTCTGCCATGGAGATTTTTTAAGGCTTATGCTACTAGGCAAGATTATATGTATTTTCTACTTTCTCCCACAAACAGGCAGAATAGAGATGAAAGCTATCTTTAGTTGGTTTAGGAATTATGTGCTAGAGTTAAAAAAAAAAAAAAAAGAAAGAAAGAAAGAAAAGAAAAGAAAACACACACACACACACACACACACACACACACACACAAAAAAAAAAAAAAAAAAAAAAAAAAAAAAAAAAAAAAAAAAAAACCACCTAAAATCCTACACCTTATTTATTTAACATATAATTTTCAGAAATGGAAGAACATCAAAACTGTCAGGATCTTTTTAGTGACATTTCTTAGATCAATTCGGAAGGTAAATTTGTGTGAAAGTGCTACCATCTGCTGTCAGTACTAATGAACTGATGCAAATCTGCGCTGAGAAAAATGTCAGTATGGAAACACATGCAGCCAATGATCTGTGTTAGGCTTACAACTCAATAAACACTTCTACTGGAACAAAGTTCTGCTAAATGGTTTTCCGTGAAGATAGAAATGATGGGTCAGATTTTTATCTCTGTAACTCCAGTGAAGTTATATAGACACATTCTCTTATGAAATTTAATTTAGCAATGGTTAAATGTCTCATAAAATAAGTCTGACATGAATATTGGGAATTGGTTTCAGAACTATTAGATATGACTATCACAAGGAAATGATAATACTGCACCTTCATTCTTATATCTATTAAATATGAGTTACTTGGTTCATATCTTAATATTCTCAGCTCTCCAGAAGGGAACAAATATAATTTCATGTACTAAGCTTTCATCCAGTTTCATATTCCAAACTGATCAAATTTGCTTTCCACTTTGGGCACATTCCTTAGCTCTGGGGAGGGTCTCTCTCTCTCAAGCAGGGTAAGGAAAATGGCTGTTGAGCACCTATAGTTTGAGGCACTGTGCTAAGTACTTTGTATAAGATCACCTATCTAAATAATTCTTTGATGAAGGCTTTATTATTGCCACTTTGGAGAACAGGTCCAACGCGATTATGCTTAAAGTTATCCCTGTAGTGAGGAGCAAAGCAAGTCCACACCCTTACATTGCACCTCCTCATCCCACTGACCAGAGTTGATGTCAAGGATATTCCCTTTAGGATAATCCTCTCTAGTCCACATCTTCAAAAATATAGTTTTTTACTTAAAAATTATGTATTTTCAAAAAATTAAAAGAGCAATCCATATATAGAGAGCTCAGCACATACAAAAAAAACAAACAAAAAGTAACAGCAGGATAACCTAAATAACTGTCCAACTCAGATGTAGAGCATTCATTGGTGAATCTCCTTTCATACTTTTTATACACACACATTTGTAGTTTTCTGTTTCTTTTTATTCCCTGAACACTAAAGCTTCCTTGAGAATGAAGCTTTAGTGTGAACAGATATTTATCAAGTATCTAGTATGTGCCACTCCCTGCCATATGCGTGTTGTTGATCTTCCCTAAGTATCTTCGTCTTCTGTTTTACTGATTTCTGTATTTATTTTTATTAGTCCCATCCATATATTTTATTTGGATTTATCTTGTTCTTAATTTTTAAATATTCCATGGGTGCTTATAAGAATATGTATAAAAATATGTAATATTCAGTTGTTGGCGACAATGCTGTCCATGTGTTACTAGATCAAGTAAGGTAACTGTGTTGTCCACATCTTCTATATCCTTATCAGTTTGATTTATCAATTTCTAAGAGAAGTTGATTTGTCCATTTTTGCTTGTACTTTTTAAATTTTTTGCTTTATTGGTCCTGAAGTTTTTATCTAAACTCATAGAACTGTATCTTCCTAGAGAATGAAGCTTTAGTATGAAATAACAATACATCTCTGATTAGACTTTCTGCCAATAAAGGACTTTTATCTTGTAATAATATAGCCACACCAGTTTCTCTTTATCTTATACATTTAAAACATTATTTACCTTTCAATATTTCTGTGTCCTTGTGTTTGAGGTATTTCATGTAAAAAGAACATAGATGGATTTTATTAAAGAAATACACCTTTATAATCTGTTTCTTAAATAAAGTGTTTAGTTCATTTACATGCTCTGTGATCTGATTTCATTTCTCCCATCTTATTTTAGACTTTTTACTCATTCTACTTTTAATGTTTCTTCTTCTGGTTTCTTTTTTCCTCCTCTGTTGCTCTCTTTTGGATTGAATGTAGGCTTTCCGCCCCCCTCATTGCTTTTACTTTTAATTAATTTGAAAAATATATGTTATATTTCTAAACCTTTAGTAGTTATCCCACAATTTTTAAGTAAAAGTTTCACTCAATAAAATTCACAAAGAGCCGAAGCCGGTTTGGCTCAGTGGTAGAGCGTCAGTCTGCAGACGGAAAGGTCCCAGGTTCGATTCCGGTCAAGGGCATGTACATTGGTTGCGGGCACATCCCCAGTAGGGGGTGTGCAAGAGGCAGCTGGTCGATGTTTCTCTTGTCGATGTTTCTAGCTCTCTATCTCTCTCCCTTCCTCTCTGTAAAAAATCAATAAAATATATTATAAAAAAATAAATAAATAAAATTCACAAAGATATTATTCAATATTTTTGCCTTTTTTCTAAATAAATACTTTAGGATGTTTAACTTTGATCACCCCTTCCTGTACTACTGCTGTTCAATATTTCAATTGTATCTTTTGTTTTAACCCATAAATTAGATATTATCAGTGCTTTGTAACCCAATGTGTGTTGAGATCTACTCACACTTTACTATTCTTTTTTTTTTTTTTTTTAATATTCACCTGAGAATACGTTTTTTAAAATTAATTTTAGGGAGAGAGAGGCAGGAAAAGAGAAACATCTATTGGTTGCCTTTTATACGTGCCCCAACTGGGGATCATCAAACCTACAAACTAGATATGTGCCCTGACGGGGAATCAAACCTGCAACCTTTCAGTGTATGGGACGATACTCCAATGAAC